GCGCCACCTATGCTTCTTCCTCTGCAGGATGTCCGAGCCAATGCCCCTGTCCTACGTGACCGCCCAGGAGATGCGCTGCCTTTTGCACTGGCTGTCGAGCTGGTCCCCGGCACAGCGCGAGCGCTTCGTCCACAGCCTGGCAGAGAAAGCGGTCCCCTGCAAGGTGATCTCGCTCTTGGATGGCCTGGCTGGGCTCAGCGTGGAAGCCGGCAAGCCCCCTTCCATCTTTGAGTGCCAGATGCGTCTCTGGGACCAGTGGTTCCGGGGCTGGTCTCAAGAAGAGCGCAACGAATTTGTGAGGCAGCTGGAAGAGGTGTTGCCGGAGGTGGCTTCTCGTTTCTACCAAGAGGTTGCTGGAACAGCCGGGCAGGATTAATCCGGGCCGTCGCTCTCCGCCGGCGCCTCGAGGATCCGACAGTGGCCGCTTTCCCACGCCTGCGGTGTGGTGTTCCAACTGGCCTTTCCACAAGTACCTTGTTAGTCAATGTACGAGTGTGAGCTCGTGACACAGCAGAATAAAAATGATATACTGTACCAAGTACCAAAGTTGAAAAATTGTCAGTTTTAAAGGATTGAAAGGCTCAGTTGCGAAGAGCGTGGGCTGAGATTTTTCTTTTTAAAAATTAGTAACTAGAATTAATAAACACGAAAACAATTAGAAAACCAAGCTAAATGGGAGAAAAAATACATATAGTGTATTCCACCATCAGGACTGTTACGGAGCAACCATTTAAACCATTTACCCTTCGGGGGGAGGACCTTCCCTTTCCCAAATTGTTTAGACTCGTGTTTCATTTTGTCCCTTCCCTTTTATCAGTACAAGATCAATACATTCTCCCCATCTATCTGCAAATGCATTTCTACTAATTATCCCTTTCTGAACTTTTATAGTGCATGTAAGTTTATCATTAATATCCCAGACTTCTCTATATCAGCTCCCTAACAAAATTTATTAATCATATCTTTCCAAACTCTTCTTCCTTAATCTTTATCAATAGCATCATAAATAGAAAATTGATCTTAGGTCATACACTCATTTTACATGTTGCAATTCTGCCATATTTTCTAATGATTCTGGAAGACAGGAGGGCCTGG